GCCGACAGTGCTGGTGGCGCCTTTTTGTAGGGGGTGCACTGCCACGCTCAGGGGGTGCACGTGCACCCACATGCACCCCCTATGCATTGCCAGTGGTGGGTGGGCTAGCCTTGGTCCAAACTGTCTGCTCCAGCCCAGCAGGGAGGTATGCTCTAGTGCCCCCCAGCTTCTGGCCTAAGCCACTGCAGACACGTGGCTGCATTTCCAGAATCAAAAGTAAATGTCTGGTCAGTTGTTTAATCAGCAGGGATCCTGGTTTTCTCCAATAAAAAAAATCCCCAATTTTCAGATTAAAAAAAGTAACCCAAATTCCACATCTTTCCATGATTAAAAAGAAAAGCCACTTCATTTTAATCATGGAATATTGTGGATTCTGGGTTACTTTTTTTAGTACAATAGTTGGGGATTTTGTTTTTTAAATCAGAGAAAACCAGGATCCCTGCTTATCAGTTAAATCTATGCAGTTTAGACTAACCTGCAAAGATTGAATAAATTCAGCCTCACAATTTTTGACCGTCTGTACTTAGGTGACTCGTTATTACAGTGGGATGGGAGTCAGGGCAAATCCTTTTTCCAGGTGTTCTTGGGGACTGAGTTTTGATAATTGATATTACCACCACCAGTTTCCAGGAGAGTGATTATATTTCTCTATTGCATGGAAATCATGTTCTTCCAAAGAAATTTTGGACGGTTCAATTTTACTTTATTCAGCATTTTTTCTTTCCACTCTCGAAGGCAACTAACAGCTAATTTTTTCACACAGTCATGACAACTGCTATTTTATCACCAAATGGAATATTTGGTTAAAAAATAAAACACAGAGAAGAAAAGGGTAGCGAGAGAGAAAATTCACCCTAGACTAGCCACTTGTTGGTTCTAACAGGACATGTAGGAGTACCTTCCCATCTGGAACTCTGACTCAGTCTCCATTTATAGCTACACAAAAAGGCACAAGACCACAATATCCACTTGAGGTCTTCTTAAGATCCACAGCCACTAACTACCAATTTTCAGCTACTTGATGATTTCATGGTAAGGAGCAGCACATCACAAAACTTCTGAGAAATCTTGATTTATTACATTCCAGTAGAGATACCAAAAAATGGCCTGCCAAATGATTGCATTTTCTGAAAAGCTCCAAACCAGATAGTTTATTTATAATAAGTGATAGCATTCATTTAAATAAATGTTTAACAGCTACTGATTAGCAGAATGGTCATACTTTAAATGTTTAATTTGTTACCGATACAGTTTTGCATTAGTGAGCTTGGAAAACAATTACAAATTATACAATTCAATTTTCCAAATGGATTATTTTGTAACTAGACAGAAAGACTGTTTAAATTACTTCTGCTGTTTCAAGGGAAGATTAATACAATCGAATTAAAACTCAAATCCCCTTGAGAAATCGGCATATTCCTGTCAGCGCTATGCAATTAGTCAGTATTGTATTGGAATATTAAGGCTGCTTTTGGTACCTTGCAAAGTCAAAAGCCATTAAAAGGAACAAGAAGTTGATTTCTGACATTCTTCCCCTCTCCCTACCCTCCACTTTTTTCCCTTCATGCTAATTTATAGATGATGATTTATTTATGTTTACCAAATAAAAACTAGGCAGCTACCTAAAAGGCAATTTTCTGCTCAGCTTTTGTAGTCTGTACCTAATTATTTTTTGTCCCTTGTGGGACTGAGTGAATTAAGTGGGCAATGTGCTTTATGTATGCAAATTTGCAGTGTACTTCATAAGCTTCAAATGACTTTGTTCTTATATGAGTTGCCAGTCTGTATTTTTGTCCTGACTATACCGCGTTCATAAAATATTCTAATCTTTACGTGTTGTAGAAACTGAATAAAATGGAAAAAAAAAAAGAATGGATTTGTATTACTTATAGGTCAATATTCTATAAAGGTCTGTATTTCCTTGTTTATTCTTTTACCCTACTGGGTATTGATTTTGCTAATCAAATACAAGATTATTTTCTGGAACCTAGGACACACGTGCATAGTAAACTAAATGCAAATAATAAGGGGAAAAAAGGAAATCTATAGATTTCCCTGATTTTAAAATAATTACAGCTGAGAGAGGCATTAGCTTCACATACAGATACACTTTCCATCCTGTGCCCTAAAAGTCCCCAGTTTCTCGACTGGGTCCTCAGAAGAGGATACACACCCATACAACACATGCGCTCACCTAATTTATACATTTAGAAATGAGCGCACAACACTGGAGGCCTGTATGTTACTAAAGAAAGCTTTTGCCTGTGCTAAGAAAAACCTTCCCATTTTTCAAGTCATCTCTTACTTTCGCTGACCTGTACCCTATGCTCTAAAACTGAAGCTCTGATGGAGAAGAAGGATACTCCAGCTCCTGCGGCTGAATATAATGGGCTCCATATAAAATTCACCTACAACTCTGAATTTGTTCTGCTTCTGTGTTCAATAAAAGTTGGACTCTGCTGCCTCCCTCAAAACAACAACTTAAAAAAATGTGGGGTTGAGACAAGAGTTTGAGGGATTTCCCCCCATCTTTCTTTGATTAGGAGACTCTTGCATTCTAAAAGGATCAACGTATCTTCCCAGAATGCTTTTGGCTTCTTAAGAAAAGGCTGTTTCACCAGGTTTGGTGCATTTTTTGTGCTAGGAATTATTTATGGAAAAAATGAAGGTGAGTTAAGAATGGTATATTCAAAAGGGGCCAGAATTGGCTGAATTCTGCAACCATCAGCGTCAATGGGATTTCACCATTCATTACAGTGGACACAGAGCGCAGGCAATATGGATTTCTGTTGACTATAAACGGTCTACGTGCTATATTGCTCCCATAAATCAGGTGACCAAACATTTCAATGACTTCAGGTCTTATTCTGCAGCTTGATTTACAAGGACAGACGCTTATGTCTGTACAAAGCCCCACTGAATGCAATGGGGTCTTTGGTATAAAAGTCAGCTCTCACAGATCCAGTTGCAGAAACTGATCATTAGGTAGCATTTGCAAGTGATTACATGTGCAAAAATGGAAATCCTTTTAAAGAAGAGCATAAAATCTGGTCACAAGTGCTTACTTCCCTTTTGATTTCAAATCCATTCCTTAATTCTGAAATCTGCCAGGCAGCAATGCACATACAACTGACACTTCGCATTAATACAATAAAAGAAATACAGACGTGCATCAATAACTGACAGAATTGTGCCATTATAAATGCTACACATTCTACTCAGAACTGGATATTCTCTCTCCTAAATACATATACTGTGCAAACCACACAGATCAAATAGAAACATTGCTTAACATAAACTTAAATGAACTCCTATTTCTGGGCATATCTTATTATAAATAAGCCCAAGGTTTTAAGACCAATCAATTACAAAATTATGCAGTGTGCATACAGAGACAACTCCGAGAATTCAAATTCCCTCACGATTTCTTCCTAAGTGTGTGTCAAACTGAATAAGAGTGGATCTGCCTCAAGCTCATCTGTGCTCTGAGCCTCCTAGGATGTTATGCACATATTTCCTAATCTTCTAATGTACTACGCTTTTGCCAACGATGATTATAAATTAAAGGGTCTCTTATTTACATCCCCATGCCCAGAAGAATTACATGTGTAAATTCTCAGATGAATTCAGAATGAGCATAGAACCCTAGAGTAAAAGTGATTAGAAAAAAGTAAGTTCATTGGCCCTAAAGGCATACAGCAAGGACTTATCATTAAGTCCAACTTGCTATTTCAGTTAAATTAAACTGAGAAAGTGTGCTGCCTTTTGTTTCCATGGTCTTTACAAATAGCAAAGTCTTTCCAGCAGATGCAGATACAAATGAAATAGAAACCTAAAACCTGACTTTATGACTCATGGAAGCCATGGTCACTGCAATGATGATTTAGATGAACCTTTCTGAGGCAAGGACTCAGGTTTTGATTCTTATTTACATTAAGGACATACCATACAAATTTAATCAAGGATGGCAGGCCTTAAAATTTGTGTAAGCATGATTTATTTCCACCCTATCATATACTGCTGCTGATGTAAAAGAGCCAAGCTTATACAAGAAACATGTGATGTTTTCATATGCATGTCTGAAAAAGTGCATAGCCCATTATTCCTACAACATCAAACTCTATAACTCACTAGGGGGGACCAGAAGGGTTTGGGGGAGACGCTGTTTCCCCTAGCGCCTGCTGGCATAACAAGGAGTAATGGGCACAAGTTGATGGAGAGGAGGTATAGATTGGACATCCACAAAAACTACTTCACAGTTAGGGCGGCTAGGAGCTGGAACCAACTTCCAAGGGAAGTGGTGCTGGCCCCTACCCTGGGGGTCTTTAAGAAGAGGCTGGATGCCTACCTGGCTGGACTCATTTGAGTCCCGTTTTTGTTTTAGGGTTTTGTTGTTCTCCCGCCCTGGCGGGGGGTTGGGCTAGAAGATCTACTAGGTCCCTTCCGACCCTAAATCTATGAAACTATGAAACTATGAAACATACTATTTCATTTCAGAAGGATCCTAGAAGCCAAATTAAAGAAAAATAATGGCAAAATTTAGGAACACAAATCCAAAATTTCAATCCTGAAAACATCCAGACTATTGTTACCCAACCACAAAAAGGCTAGCCTAAGGAACTCACTTGTTTTTTATATATTCAAATTTTTGCTTGTACATGTATTGATAACTGCCTCCGTCTCGACAAAGTCGGGCAGCTTAGTGACTAAGCAGTGACTAAATTCACAGAGATTCAGAAATTAGACATTCCTCTGCCTTTTTCTTCTGAGGGAGTCACACTGAGTTAGGCATGTGAAGAAGTAGCATCCTGAATTGGAAACTTAACTGTTGATGAAAACAGGACGTACAGCTTTAAAACTTATTGCAGCAGCCCTTTTAAAAGTAGCAACAGTTAAGCATTCTTGTTTTCCTTGTATTCCAATGTACCTCAGTCTATAGGGTGGTAGGATTACCAACGCCATGAAAGTTCTGCATGATTTTGCATGTAACCAAATCTTACCTTGTGATAGCACCTAAAATACGCAGCACGCTCATCCGAGAACTTCTCCAATCTCTTTGGCCCTTTGCTCGAAGCTTTCTTGAATACTAACCAGCATCTCTGATAAATCTGGAAGTACAAAAGAGTGAACTTGGCATCTCCGTTGACTTCAATATAACTGACATTTGCATAGAAATGCATTCTTTTTTATGCTTTTGCATGTAAATTAGGAGCAAGTCATAAATTAGATGTTTCTTTGGATAAAATACAACAGTTGCCACAGTGAATGGTCCTGGGTAGCTTTAACGTGGGTGGATTCATAAGTAGTAGTAGCAAAGACATCACTAGACTGATTGCATGAAAAACTCCCATGGATCCAATACTTGTCTGATCATCTTCCTCAAAGATTAATTACAAGAAAAGAAAATGCAATTGCAATAACTTAGCATCCCAGGGGATCACCACCTGTTGAAGGATTTTTAGTTATTAACATTTTGTCAATTTGAATTATCCCATTACAAGTTTTGGTCTTGATCCATGAACTTAGAAACATGACAAAACTTTGATAAGAGCCAGGTACGGAGCTTTTCTGTAAATGTGAACAGTATATTAGAACTTTTGAAAAGGGATTGAAAACATTACTAACACAAATGCAAAATCTTATCAATTATCCTGCAATCTGGGACCAGAATTTGGGAGCTTCTGGAACAAACTTTAATGGGACCAGGAGTTATTAAATTATTGAACTAGGAATTTTCAAACCCAGCTTTGACCCTCTGTACTTGGTTACCCCCTTC